GGAAAATTCTAAATTCGCTGCCGAATTTCGTTGGCTAAGTTTCACAGTTTTAAATGAAGAGCGAAAATGCGCGCCTTGCAACCAGTTGATTTTGAAGAAATAGATCATGATCTAGATCAAACCCGCGTCCACTTTAAAATTATTAAATTTCTTCTGGCCTACGAGTTTGCTGGGGCGCGCTCTCTGACCCCCTCGCTTGAACCCAAGTGGGTCCCCCCTTTTGTGTTTTTTGGAAATTTCGAAACTAGTGAAATGACGGGCCCGCCGGGCCGGGCCGGGCCTCCGAAATTCCGGAAAAAGCCCGGCCCGTTACAAGTATGTTCCAGGGGAGATTTTCGTCGATTTTCGGTGTAAAAAAGGGCCGGAATTTCAGTTTTCCGAATGAAAATGCAGAGAAAAATGCAGGAGTTTCAGAAAAACAATATTTAGAAGAAATTCCGCCTGAAAAAAAAAACAAAATTTTGACATAAAATTCAAAAAAAAATTGGAATTTTTTCAAAATTTTGTGATTTTTTTCAGGATTAAAAAGATGATTTTTAGTTTTCTTGCGATTTCGGCGATATCTAAACCCCATCGCTTTTTTCCGACGCCCTAAAATTTTTCTGAAGTTCAAATTTCCTCGTTTTTACATCCTCATCACGTCTGATGGGATTCTACGACAATTGGGAAAAATCGAATTTCTCCTGTTTTTCAGAAGTAAGTACACCCAATTTAGTAGTATTTTGGCCAAATATCAAACGCGGAAATTGATAAGAGAACAACCCTTCACCTGTGTTGTCACACACAATTTGGTCACCTGACTTCAATTTTCTGTCGTAAACATTTGTATTTTTCACCATTATTTTTTTAATCTCCGAGAAAAAAGGGGGCGGAGTCGAACCCATCACATGTTAGATGTTTGGTAATTGAAACAAAACAAAGTTTTTGACCTGAATTCGCCATTAAAACTACTCTCCACTGCCTTATTACACTGAATCATACGACATTTTGCGTACACACGCCGCGGCGAGAGAGTGTGCGGCGACAAGAGACGCAGAGAGGAAAGGGAGGGCGCCGGCGACGCCGAAAAACGTGTCTCATGACTGCCATTGACGGGTGTGAGGAGGGAGAAAAAGAAAGAGAAAGAGAAAAAACAGAAAAAGAAGAGGATTCTTCTGTTTTTCGAACACTTCTTCACTTTTTTCGGCGCTGAAAATGTGTTAGAATGCCTTGTAATAGCTTTTAATAGAAATATATCGGTTTTTTATGATTTTAATCGTGTTTTCGACAGTTTTCAAGTTAAAATAGCAAAGAAATGACCCAAAATTTTGAATTTTAAAAATCGATTTTGAAATTTAAAATTCTGAAAAATAATTTTTTCCGAAAAAAAAATTGTTTTCCCCAAAAAATTCGTAATTTTGAGGCTGACATAAGCATAACGGACTAGTGTTATTATCCATAATTATCGGCATTTTTCGGGGGTTAATAGTCGGTTTTATGGGTTGTAATTACTGTCTGGAGCACTTTTTCCGGGTTAAAATCGGTTTTTGAGCAATTTTTGAGCACCCAGAAAGTAGAATTTTCTAGATTTTCGAGGATTTTTGAAATTTGGAGAATTTTCGAAAAAAATATAGAGAATTTCAATTTTTCTGACTTTATTGAAATTTCGAGTAACGATTTTTGTTTTCGAGAATTCAAAAAAAAATTTCCGAACTGAGACCTTTTTTCTGAAAATCTCGAAAGTTGCTCAATTTTCAACGAAAATTTCCATTTTCACAAGAATTTATGAATTTTTGTATTTTTGAAAATTATGAGAATTTTCGAAAATTACGATTTTTGGATGAAATTTCGATTTTTCCGATTTCACAAAACTTGTGGAAATCTTGAAATTCCAATAAAAAAAATATGAAATTCTCAGCGAAATTTTCGATTTTGTTCAAATTTCAAAAAAATTCGAAAAATTAAATTTTCGAAATTTCCCTAAAAATTTTAAAAATTCTAACTATTTCAGCAAAATTTTGAATTTTCAGCAAAAATTTCGATTTTCTGCTGAAATTCAAATATTGTCGAATTTCTGAAAATTTCTGAAAATTCGAAAAATGCGAATTTTTTCGAAATTTTTCATAATTTCCCAGTTTTTTAATAAAAATAAAATTTCCACTCAAGACAGAAAATTCAATTTTTTCGCACTTTTTCGAGTTTCTGGCTTTTTTTTCAGCGGAAATTTCGATTTTCTGCTAAAATCCCAACATTTTCAAATTTCCCAAAATTTGTAAAAAGTTCGAAAAATGCGATTTTTTAAAAAATTTTTTCAAAATGTTCCAATTTTTAAAAACATATTTCTCAAAATCCGTTCAAGACCCAAAGTTCAAATTTTTTCAAAATTTTGATTTTCCCGCTCCAGATTCTTTGCACTTTTCCATCTATTTTAGTAAAATTGCGAAAAATGCCCTAATTAGTGTAAAAAGAGCCTTATTAAATATCCAAGTTCCTCTTTTTTTTTCTTTTTTTTCTTTTTTTTTCCTTTTTTTCATCCCACATGAGACCGAAAATTCTTGTATTATTGTTCTCTTCTGTGTGAGAGAGACTCAATAATGTTAATAAAAAATGTTTCTTTTCTTTTTTCTTTTTTCCCATTCTTCAGTTTTCCTCTCTTTGTTTCTTTGTTCTTGGGTCCCACCACGACAACTACAGTAACCCAAAAAAAAGTTTTTTTTTTGGGATTTTTTCTCGATCTTTGGGATTTTTCAGTCAATTTTTGGGGGAAAAATAATATTGCAATGGAGGATTCTTTAAAAATATTGAAAATCGCAACAAAATGTTTTTTTGAATTTCGAAAATCTTCGGAAAAATTGATTTCCGGATATGTGTTTTGTCACCCAAAATCAATTTTTCCGGAAATTTTTAAAATACTTTTTTTTTCAGATTTTCAAGATCTCGAAAATGTTCATTTTTACGTTGTTTTTCCCACAAAAACTTGACTGGAAACGAACTAAAAATCGAGAAAAAATTCCGAAAAAAAAAATTTTTGGGTTACTGTAGCTTGCCAGAATAATTTTAAAAAAAAGAAAAAAAATTCTTCCAGACCCCCTTTGGGTGGACCACCATCATCATATGTCACGATATCGATTCAGAAAGGCGCGGAGTAATTGGCCGATGGGAAATGACAATTCTCGTTGGGAGCCACCGCCAATTCAGCTTAATGGTACATATTTGGAGGGAAAGAATATGGACATTTCTAGAAATTTTTTCTGGCGATTCTAAAAATTTGGGCTCAAAAACCGGAAGTTTTCTGTCCAGTAGAGCGCAGTTGCTCGGGGCGAAAAATTTGAAAATTTCGTCATTTTTTTTTCGAATTTTTCTTATATTTGGGGTTTAGAAACAGCTATTTTGGACGAAAAAATGATAGATAAAACCGAAATTTACAGATTTCTCGGAAAAAAATTCTGAAAATTTTCAATTTTTGTGAAAAATTTTGGAAATCTGAAATTCTGAAAAAATGACGAAATTCGATAGTGTTGCTGAAAATCCGTTTTCCAGAAATTTAGAGAAAATTTTATTTATTTATTTTTTTTATGTCGCACGGTGTTTGCACACAATCCGAGCTACAGTAATCCCGAGAATATATTATTAATGGATTTCGCTCGTTTTTATTTATTTTTTGAGCTGAAATTTCGGAAAATTGCACAAAATGCTCTGAAATTGGTCAATATCGACTGGAATGGCTTGAAATTAGCTTAAAATTACCCAAAATTGATTTAAAACGCTTTAAAAATTATGAAATTGCCGAAAAGATATTTTCAGCTGAAAATTCTGAAATTTTGACACCAAAAACTGGAGAAATTACCCGGAATTCGAAATTATTGCTCGAAAAATCGCGAAAACTGCGAAAACCTGGTTTTTGAGATTACTGTAGCCCCTGCATCAGATTTGACGACAATTTGCACTGTAATTCAAATTTTCGGGTAAATTGTCGTCAAATCTGATACGTTCCTTGTAAAATAGTGTTTGCACACAATTGAAGCTACAGTAATCCCGAAATTGAATTTTTATCCAAAAATGGCTTGAAATCAACCAAAATCACCCGAATTTTATCGAAAACTGAGCCGAAATGAGCCAAAATTCTGAGAAAAATCTTTTTTCTCGAATTTCGATGAAATTGTCGAAAAGTGAGAAAATTTTGCTGAAAATCGGGGTTTCAGTTCAATTGTTTTTTTCGAAAAATCCAAAAAATGGAAATGCGCTCTATCGAGAATAGAGCCTATTTTGAAGCCTAAATTCGATTCCGGCTTCAGAAATCAAAAAAGGAAATTTGCAGAGCTCCTGCCACCATCTGACGATCCAACAACCCCACCTGCTCCAATTCCAATGGAAGATCTACCATACGAAGGGGGTCCACTAAAAATGAGTGGATTTATGTATCATCCGAGAACTAAGAAATATTATAAAATGACAAATGATCCATCACTGCCACAGGGCTTCTCAAAAGCCGATTTGGATCGAATCGAGACGGCGAGAGAGGCCAAAATTCAAGCGAATCGCCCGAGATTTACGTCTGGATCTTTTATTAAGAGACCCGTTTTTAAGCCGATTACTACGCTTCTAGATGGTGAGCAATGGGACTGAAAGTTCCTTAAAAATCTGAAAATCAAAATTTTTCATTTTTCGAAAAAATGTGAAAAGTGATTTTTCAAGAAACTTCCTGTTTTTGTGCTCAAAATTGCGAATTTCAAAAAGTTAGATTTTTAGGTCATTTTAAACCCGCTGAACTGTTCAAAAACCAATCCGAAACCTTCAAATTCGTCCAGAATCCTCAATTTTTTGTTCAAAATCCTAAATTTCCAGATCTCACTCTTGGCCGTTGTACAATATCTCGAATGGAACGACACGTCCATGAGAGTCGCCTTCTAAACTGCCAACCCCGCCCGTCTTTCACAATAAGAACGCCAATTGATCACTATAATGTCGCCGGATGCGAATTTCTAGACGTTTCTGATACCGGCGATCGAATTGTGGGCACTTTTACATTGAATCCCAATGGACCAACGCAAAAACATTCAGCGGTTTACGTATTCGAAGTGGATTCCATCGGAGATACTATTCAGTAAGTGCGCTCTATTGATGATTCTTTGATAATTCGAACATTTCAAAGATTGGGGCTTTCAGATTTTTCAAACTTTCAAAAAGATCCATATTTCTGATATTTTGGTCTCCAACATTTCAGAATCCTAGAATTCCAGAATTTTAGAATTTTAGAAATTTCAAAATTTTAGAAATTTAGAATTTTTGGATTTTGGAGAATTTCAGATTTTTATGAAATTTTAGAATTTTAGACCTGTAGAATTTTCAGAATTTACGAATTTCAGAATTAGATTTTTGGAATTTTAGAATTTTTAGAATTTTCGAATATTAGAAATTTCAGAATTTCAGCTTTCCGAACTTTAAAATTTTGGGATTTTATAGAATTTTTCAATTTCAGCCATTCAGAGATTTTTAGAATTTTAAAAATCCAGAATTCTAGAATTTCAAAATTTCAGAAAATTTTAGAATTTTCCAATTTTCAGATCTGAATCAGAACGTCGTGAAGCCTATAACCTCCTCCCAGTCCGGTCCCGCCCACCAAACAAAGGATTCAACACACTGGGTCTTACTGTACAACCGATGGTCAATGACGATGGAATTCCGGATCAGCCATCCTATGTGGATTACGCAGTCACTAGATACGAGTCATTTATTGTGGATCAAACATTGGCTAGAATTGATTCAGATGTCACTTGTATGCTTACAGTAACCGCTAGCGATTCGTAAGTCGATTTCAATTATTATTATTGTTGTGCGAAAAAATTGGAGCGAGAGAGCATTTTTTGCAGTCTGAATACGGTAGGCAACTCGAAGCGACAAGCCTAAATAGCGCATATTCGGTGGAGACGCAGAGAAATATTTCGATTAACGTCTCAACTCCAATTTTTTCGGACAAAAATAATAATTTTTTTTGAAAATCCGCAAAAAGACACTTCTAAACCTTAAAATTTCAGTTTTGATGAAAAAAAAACTTCAAAAATTAAACTTTCTAATTTCTGAAAATTTTGAAAAAAGTTGTGAATTTTCAAAAAAAAATGAAAAAATAATTTCAGGAAATTTTTGAAATTTTGAAACTTTACAAATCCATATTTTGATGCATTATTCGAAAATTTCAATTATCTTTTTTCCTAATTATTAATTAGCATTTTGTCGTCAAATATGGTGTATTACTCAAAAACTCGAAAATCTGTGCAAACTGTCGTAAAATTTCACACATTATTTAAAAAACGTGCATTTTGTCGTCAATTCTAATGTATTATTCAAAATTGCAACTATCTGTGCATTTTGTCGTCAAATATGGTGTTTTACACAAAAATCTGTGCATTAAGTCGTGAATCCTGACGTATTATTCTAAAATTCCCGTGCAATTTGTCGTCAATTCTGACGTATCCCTCGAAAATTCAAAATTATCGTGCATTTTGTCGTCAATTCTGATGTATTGCCCAAAAAATGGAAAATATGTGCATTTTGTCGTCAATTCTGATGTATTGCTAAAAAAATGGAAAATATGTGCATTTTGTCGTCAATTCTGATGTATTGCCAAAAAAATGGAAAATCTGTGCATTTTGTCGTCAAATATGGTGTATTACACAAAATAAAATAAAAATAAATTAATAAAATTTTGAAACTTCACCAAAATACCAATTTGTCATACTGAAACTTCCAAAAAATCACATTTTGGGAATTTGACAAAAATTTAAAATTTAAAAAATTTTGAAAAGTCCTATTTTCTATCATGTTCCACCTAAATTCAAAGCTAAACTTTCAAACTTTCAGGATCAATCGCTACGGTACCGTCTGCTCCCACTGCATCGTCCATCTGGAACCCCTTGCCGAACTATCGGATCCCGAGTCCATCCCCACCCTCTCCTCCCCAATCTACAACAAACGATGGCGTGAAAAAGGAAACATCTGGAGCGTTGGATGGAATGGACCTCAAATGTCAATCGGATTCGGACTGGAATCCTGTTTCCGAATGGAGAACCTCCTGACGGATCGTAGTTTTCTGATGTCGAGCAAAAAGAGAAATGTTCTGAGTCATTGTTTCTCAGGAGACGGAAATTTGGTTTATATGGGACTCAGACATGATAATGTGATAAAATCAGACCTCCGAATGAATAGAGATCATATCACTGGACAGCTGAATGGAGCAATGAACACCACGTTCGTCAAGGTGCTGGAGAAGACCCGTCCGGAGTGTGTTGTGACTGAAGGATTCGATTCCATCGTGAGAATTTGGGACTTCCGGTGGCCGAAGAAGCCGACGATGGAAATGCACGGACATCGCAATAATTGCAATCGTTTAAATGTGTTCTTTGATAAGGAGGAGAGATTTGTGTTTGCAGGTGAGTTTTAGAGGACATTTTAGAACTGCGACGTTTTAGAACCGCGATATGTTAGAAACAGGACATTTTAGAACCGCGAAATTTTAAAACCGCGAGCTTCCAGAACCAGGTCGTTTAAGGATTGCGACGTTTTAGAACCACGACGTTTCAGAACCACGACATTTTAAAACCGCGACATTTCAGAACCGCAACATTTCAGAACCACGACGTTTCAGAACCGCGACATTTCATAGCCGCGATATTTTAAAACCGCGACGTTTCCGCACCCTGATGTTTCAAAACCGCGACATTTTAGAACCGCGACATTTCAGAACCGTGACATTTCAGAACCACGACGTTTCAGAACCGCCACATTTTAGAACCGCGACATTTTATAGCCGCGATATTTTAAAACCGCGACGTTTCCGCACCCTGATGTTTCAAAACCGCGACATTTTAGAACCGCGACGTTTTAGAACCGTGATATTTTGAAACAATGCAGTTTTAGAACCGCGACGTTTAAGAACAGCGACATTTTAGAACCGCGACATCTTAGAACCGCGACATTTTAAAACCGCGACGTTTTGAAACTGGTAAAAATCCCGAAAAACATCAATTTTTGTTTCAGCTGGTTCCGATGGCTGGGTCCGTGGATGGTCCCTAATCTCCAGTGACATGCTGTGCTCCATCAAATCTCCCAGCCCACAGAATCCCATTTTTCCACGTGCCGTCTATTCGGATTGTTGGGGCGGTCGACCGGGAAACGCGGCCCTGATCGTGGCCGTTGGCGACAGTATGAGAGTTCACTCATTGGAACTTTAGTGTCCAATGGAGCGCATTTGCATTTTTTCGTTTTTTTTAAATTTTTTTGTAAAAATTCATTTTACTTGTAGTCATTTCTCTGTATACTCACTCTTTTTTCCCCAGTTTTTTCGTTGTGTACCGGTCAAAACTTGAAAAATGAACTCAAAAAAAATTATATAAATTTTGTAAATCCCGGTCTCCATATAGTTTTTTTTCGTATCTTTTTTTGTATTTTTCTCTAATTCTCTCATTTTCTCTCGCTATTTCTCCCCCTCATTCCGTTTCTCTTGTAGAGTATTTATTTGATTTTATTTTATTTAAAAAATAAGAATAATTTTTAGCAAAAAAACCTTTTTTTCAAAAAAAATCAATAATTTGTTTAAAATCATCAATCAGAATCCTCATAGCAAGCGTAGTACTGACGTTTGCCTGTCAGCTTCCACAGCTTCTTTTTCAGCATCTCTCGATACTTTTCGATGCCGAAGAAGTCGGCTTCAGCGACAAGGGCTTCTAGGGTGAAGGTGTCATCTGGAAGACTGGTTAGCTTCCCGTTGCGGAGGTATTGGAGCACCTGGAAATTTCAAATTGGCGATGAAATAGATTTTCGATGCGGCGCCCACCGCGCCCTTTATGTACGACAAGTGGTGGTGAAAAACAAGGTGCCGCCGTGGCGCAGTTGGTTCAGTGCGGAATCCCATGCGAGAGGTTTTTGGTTCGAATCCCACCCTCGCCAAATTTTTTTTTTGCCTTTTTTCAACTTTTTACCAAGTCACATGTCGAAATAGAACTCGATTTTTGATTTTTTTTTTGTTGAGTTTTTTTTTTTCAAAAATTAACCTATTTTCGAATTTTTGAAATTTTAAAGATACTTTTTTTTCAAAAGTTCTAGAAATTTGGAATTTTGAAGTTCAAATTCAGAAATTCAATTTCTCTTTGAAATTTGGAATTTCTATATGTTGAAAATCATTAGAAAAATATCTTTTTTGAATAAAACCAAAAAAAGTTTCAGAAAAGCAATGTTTCTAGAAACTGGAATTTCTAGGTCAAATAATTGTTTTTTGGTGGTTTTTCAGAATTGCAGATCTCCATCTCAATCAATATCAACTCGATTTTCGATTTTTTTTTTGAAAATTTCTATTTTCAGATTTTTGCAGAAATGCATATTGTTGAGGGGAAAGAGAACCCGCGTAGTGTCGCTCGCCGCGCCCTTTATGTACGACATGTGGTGCTGGACAAAAAAGTGCCATCGTGGCGCAAGTGGTAGCGCGCGCAAACTCTATGCTATAGGTTTTCGGTTCGACCCCTCCCTCTCCTACATTTTTTTTGCTTTTCAAAACCTTTTTGACCAACTCACATGTCGAAATAGAACTCCATCCCTATCAATATCCACTCGATACTTGATATGATTCGGTGACGTCTCCCAATGGCATCCTCGTACCTTAATGGCGGCGTCGAAAACCTTGACGACGTCGCGGAAATATGTTCCACATGTTGCAGGATTCATTAAAGTCTTCACTTGAACAGGGTATAAGTCCCCGCCCACAAAAAGGTTGAGCCACGCGTCCTCGCAGTTGAATGATAGCTCGTTGACCATGATTTTTGGTTGGTGGTTCTGTGAAAAAATCTCTCTAGGGAATTTCTAAAAGAAGGATGAGCAATGGTACGAAAAACGGGAAAATTAGCAATTCAAATTTTAGGAGAAAGTGAGAAGATGACAATTTGACACGTCTTCTCTTCTGAATTCAGAATTCACAGGTCAGAAGACGTTCGGAAAAACAATTTCGTATAAGAGTAAAAGTCAAGAAAAAAGTTGGGCAGGAGGCTCACTTATTCATGAAATATTGGCCAATTTTTTTTTGGTCTGGAATAAGAAAATATATATTTATGGGAAACGGAAATGGAATATTATTGCCTTTTATAGGGACAACTTCGGTTGATTTAGAGAAAATTGAAGAAAAAGAGACGCAGAGGAACCAGACTTTCTAGCTTATCTGCGTCTCTAAAGGTATCTAGCTTTGACGCTGTATAACTCAAGAACTAAAAAGGTATCGAAAAGTTGTCAACTAATAAAATGTATAAAAATTTATGCTTATTATTTTTGCAGTTAGCAACTTTTTTCTAGCTTTTTTAGGTTTTGAGATATAACTGTTTGAGAGAGACTCAGAGACAACGAGTGACCTTGCTCCTCAGCTCTTCTCCAGAGCCATTTTGCATAGAGAACCCCCATGAGGGGTTGAACTCATGACAGGCAGCTCAGGGGTAGAGCGCCGCTACCGGCTGAGCTACGGGTGCGCGAAGTCGCATGACGACCGATGGTCTACATAAGCGCGGCGCGATTTCGTCCCCCGAACTGTCCCCCGATTTGCTGTCTCGCCTCCTTTAAGAAGTAGGAGAGATGAAAAGCTATCAACTGAAAAAAGTTTTCAATTTTAGGCAAAAAATTTCCCTAATGAAAAGTGTACTATAAAAAAGAGACGCAGGGAAACTAGACACTCCCGCTTCTCTGCGTCTGTCTTTCTATGCCTCTAGGGGTACCCAACTTTGACGCTTTATATATCAAAAACTAAGAAAGATTCGAAAAAGTTTTCAACTGAAAAAATGTATACAATTTTATATTCTACATTTTTGAAGTTGACTACTTTTTTCTAACTTTTTTAGTTTTTGAGATGAAATGCTTCAAATAATTAGAATCAAAAATTCCCCAGACTGTTGACATCTCATTTTTGAAAATACGTTGGAAACTTCAAAACTGGATTAAAATTTTTGCAAATTATTCTCTAGTGCGAAGTTCTAGAAAGAACGCTTTTCATGGTTGTTGCAAAACTACGAGACGCAGAGAAACCAGACTCTCTCGTTTCTCTGCGTTTCTCTTCCAATGCCTCTGGGGGTATCTAACTTTGATGCTCTATATCTCAAAAACTGTAAACTCTATCAAAAAATTGTCAACTATTAAAATGTATAAAATTTTATATTCTTCATTTTTGTAGTTGACAACTTTTTAAAAACTTTCTTAGCTTTTGAGATAAAACGCTCCAAAAAAATAGATGCAAAAATCTCAGGACAGGCTACAAAATAAACATTTTGAAAACTCCCCAAAAATCTTCAGTTTTTCTCCAAATAGTTGTTGGTAAAAAAAGAAACAAATGGATGTGTGTTTGAGAACATGTCTCCTCCAAGAAAAATGGACCAAAAGAATAAAAAAGAGAGGGCTCAAGAAAACCACACAAATTCATCCAAAAAAAGAAAGAAAAGAAGGAAAAAAAAAAGATGGAGAATTTGAAAAGAAACACGCACTCTTCTTCATCTTCGTCTTCTTTGTTTCTTTTCAATTTCAATTATTGTTTATATTCATCACATAATTAGAAGAAGAGAATCTAGAAGATGACGACGTCAGAGCCCCCCCCCCCACCAAAAAGTGGGCGGAGCCTAAAGAAAGATTCGACACTTGATTCTCTTGGGAATTTTATAGGGATTTAGGAAAAGGAGAAGAAGATGAACGAACGAGATTATAGAAATAGAGAGTACGCTTTTACGAAAGGAAAAAAAAAATTGAAATGGAGAATTTATAGGGCTTCTGATAGGAGACATAATATTTTATGTTTTTTTGAATGTTGAAATATTGCGGTTTAGATAAGAGAGATTAATAGTTTTCTTCTCTGAGCTGGTACGCTATTCAGCAAAATGTAATATAAAAAAGAGACGCAGAGAAACTAGACACTCCCGCTTCTTTGCGCCTCTCTATTGGTGCCTTTAGGGGGTACCGCAATTTGATGCTTTATAGCTCTGGAACTAAAAGAGATAACAAAAAGTTGCCAACTAATGAAACGCATAAAATTTTATGCTCATCATTTTTGTAGTTGAAAACTTTCTTGTATCTCTTCTAGTTCTAGAATTATAAAATGTTAAAGTTAGATACCCCTAGAGGCACAAAAAGTGAGATGCAGAGAAGCGGTTTGGTTTCTCTGCGTCTCGTGGTTTCACAACAACATCAATGAAAAGTATTAGAAAGTTTTTTTTAAAATTAGAACCACTAAAAAATGTATATTCCCCATTCCGAACCTTTTTTAGTGGAGTATAAGCTTCCAAACTGGCAATAAGAGTATTTTTTTCGGCTCAGTTTGTTTGGAGCGTTTTATCTTAAAAACTAAAAAATCTAGAGAAAAGTTGTCAACTTCGAAAAAAATGTGCATAACATTTTATACATTTTATTAGTTGACAACGTTTTGATAACTTTTTTTAGTTCCGGAGTTATAAAGCGTCAAAATTAGATACCTCTGGAGCCTTCGGAAGAGAGACACAGAGAAACGGGAGTGTTTGGTTTCTTTGCGTTTCTTTTTTGCTTCTATAATTCGGAATTTCCAAAATTTTGGAATTCTGAATAAACTGGGGTTCAGAGATTAAAAAATTTAGTAATTTCGAAGTTCTGAGATTCTGAAAATCCGAAATTCATTTTAAAGCTGAAAATCTGAGAATTCTTAAAGTCTAAATTTTGTTTAATTTTGTCAAGAATGAAGTGAGATACTGTAGTTTTAATATTTTTGAAATTTTTGAGATTTTTAGAATTTTAGATTTTTAGAATTTTAGAATTTTAGAATTTTAGAATTTTAGAATTTTAGAATTTTAGAATTTTAGAATTTTAGAATTTTAGAATTTTAGAATTTTAGAATTTTAGAATTTTAGAATTTTAGAATTTTAGAATTTTAGAATTTTAGAATTTTAGAATTTTAGAATTTTAGAATTTTAGAATTTTAGAACTTTAGAATTTTAGAATTTTAGAATTTTAGAATTTTAGATTCCACATCATCTACTAAAATGACGTCTTCTTCTATTTTTTCTCGGATGTCTTTATCAGATTTTCAGCTTCATCTTCTTCTTCATCTTCTTCTTCTTCATCTTCTTCTTCATCTTCTTTCTCAAAATCAGAAGACGTCCTTCTTCTGATGCTCACTGATGAACGTGTTGAAAAAGGGAGGCAATTGGGAATTCACAAAAATAAAAGTTTCGTTTTTTCCCAAAGGAGAACAACGAAGAAAAAAAATAAAGAGAAAAACCTGAACAAAGCAAGATGAATCGTTTGCTCCTTCTCCTATTTTTTCCAATTTCCGAAAATGGAAAAAATAGAGAACTAGAGATTTAGAGAAGCAAAAAGCTGAGCAATCTGGAAATTAGAAGAAAAAGAAGAGAGAAATCGGGAGAAAAACAACAACAAGAATACAAAGGGTTCCCTAAATTTTGAATTTTGAAAAAAAACGAATTCAGGTTTTTTAAAGAGGTTTGCTTTATCCGTTTTCAGGGTCTCTTGGAATTTCTAAACTTAGAAAATTTTGATTTTATTCATTCAATATTTATTGGAAATTAAAAACAGAAAAGATTATTATGGATAGGGCCACAGGATTCCAAAAGGCATGGTCAGAAATTGCGCCCTTTTGAAATTATCAAATTTGGCTAAAAGCTCTGTGGGGCGCAATTTCTGACAAGGCGTTTTAGAGCCCTGGGAGTGGGGAATACAAATTGGATGGGAACAATTGAAAAACAACTACAGTTTACATAACAATATGACAAAAATGTGACAGTAAGAGATTTAAAAAAAAAACCAAAAAACTAATAAAAATCCCTCTAAACCGCCAACTTTGAGCTCATATACCTCATTTGCTTTACAAGATATCAAAAAGTTGTCAACTAACGAAATGTTTATCATACTTTTGAAGACATTTTATCCATTAATCACTTTTTGATATCTTTCACAGAACTCGAGATACATTGGTAATCTCAGAGGTAACACTCTGACCGTTTACTTTGACCCAATTTATCTCGGTTCCTGTGATAGATACCAAAGACATGTTAACTAATAAAATATTTATCATGATTTTAAAAATATTTTATTAGTCGACCACTTCTCGATATCTTTCACTTAAACCGAGATAAACTAGCTCAAAGTGAGGGGTTCTTAGGATAAGCTGGTTCCGAGGGTATATAGAATTTTGGGGAACATTTGGGGGATGACAAAACAGATGGCGGGCCGGCTGAAAACTTTTTTCTGGAAGAGATTTTCAGACAGTTTTGGTATGAAATGATAGATCTCAACAGGGCCCATTACGTCTATCATTCGAGCCGGATCTCGCTCCGATAACTTGTTGAAAAACATGTTTGAATGACAATTTTCGACCAACTTAACAAAAATCAGATTTTTGTTCAAACACATTTTTCGACATGTTATGATAGGGATGAGACCGGGATCCGGTTTGGATAATATAGATGTAAAAGGCCCTGTCGAGATCTGTCATTTGGTATCAAAACCGTCTGAATATTTCGTTTTAGAGACAAGTTATCAGCCGGCCCGCCAACTGCCCGGGCCGGCTCAACTTTGCTTAAGATCAATTGGTTCCGAGGGTACATAGTATTTTGGGGTTTATGTGGGATGACGAAAAATGAAATACATTAGTTTGAAGATGAATGCAATTTGGAACTACTCGACCATTCTCAGAAACTCTTCCTCCGTCTCTTTCCATACTCCAAAACAGAACGATTCTCCCTCAATTGAAATAGATGCCACACGATTATCGGTTTCCCTAACAATATAAAAGTGGCTGGTGATTGGGTCCGTGTTTGCTTTGAAAATACGTCCTGGTGTGTACCTAAAAGTTATTGATTATTCGTCAGCTCTCCCCAGAAGAACAAAATAACTCACACATTGGGCACAGTGTGTGTCGGTGGCATTTTAGTTGCATTAAGATGTTTTACAACGTTTACATTCAGAACTTCTGTTAGGTTCGTGGGACCGTCTATTATTTTCAAGTATTCCAAATTTTGACATACTTCTCCGAATCTCCATCGATTGATAAATTCAATCAAATCCGAAATTTCAACGTCACAGAAAAATAGAATAGCCTGTCTCCCTTGAAAGTGCCGTAATAGAGCATGAACGGCGTGGGAATATAGTTCGACAATTCTGACGGATTCCGTTTGATAGAATTTGGACTCTGGACTTAATACTTCAAGTCTATTCCATCTGATATGTATATGTTTTTTCACAGGAGGCAAGATGAAGAAGTTTTCAAGGGCTTTCATGTCTATAACCTCCTGGATTCTAGGCCAAATTTGAATCCATAACGACAAATTGGGAAGATTTGGAATGAATTCCTCGGGATATTTTGCTCTCCAAATATATTCTACTGAATCACCGAAGAAATCGAGAAAATATTTATGAATGGATTCGATAGCAGATTCTTTGTCGTTCGGGTGAAAACATGCTTCAGGAAGATTGTATTCGTGGGACACTCTGAAATATTGATGGGTTTTCAATTGATTGCAGATTTCTACTCACCGAAAATCAATCATTTTCCCAGATACATTCAGTTGAAAATAATCATTTTCAGATTCCTCGTGGTGATCGTAAATTCCCATGATTTCTTCCATTCTCAGATTATCTCCTGTTCCCATAATACTTTGCGTCTTAAAGGGAATGGAAACAATACGTTTGTCTACAAAAGCACTTTGGTACATGACACGGATGATGCTTTTGAATCTCACAATTTGAGAGGATTTTATCAAAGTTTTCATATTTTTTGACACGAAAGACAACCAGAATAGATTGAAATTTGTCATGTTGTCAAAGATCTCCCTTTGGACCAAATACGGAAATTTCGACAGTTGCATTGTTCTGAAGATGTTGAACAGGTTGAAGAGGGCAATAATATACTGTAAAAACTCGATTAGATAGCCATGACACGCTATTGTTCGGAGGTGGTCAGGGTGGCACAATATGAGAGGCTGGCACTTTGAACTCTATTTTCAACTTTTTTTCTTCTACAAAACCTTTGTTTAGAATCAAAATAGGTAAAAGAGAATATGACAAAATGATTTTCAAAAAAGCATTTTTATCGTAGTCAATTGAAGGATTGCTTTCTTTCTCACCATCGTCATTGTAGTACCTCTTTCAAACTCGAAAAAACATAGGTACAAGACAATTATTTTTGTGTTGGCATTCCGTTAGGGGTGACACTTTATTGTTCGGAGGTATTACTAGGATCGCACTGTATTAGAGACTGTTACTTCAGTTAGGGGTGGTTATCTAATATAGTTTCTAAGGTAGATGAGAAAACGACAAACAATTGGAATCGATAATCAATAACATAAGAAGGAGCACCTTACAGAATGAAAACTGATCAAAAAGACACAGAAGACGTCGATAGTAGAAACCGTAGAAGACGTAGATGACCTTGACCGGTTGACACACCCACTCGTCTGTCCCACAGGGACCAAACCCATCGAACGAAGGTGAATTAGTTGGTTCGAGATGTCTTCTTAGCACATCTATTACAATTGTCTCTGACTGAGAAGAGGGTACGTCTGCTGGCTAGGAAGACGGCCCAATAGATACTTTCCCATGTCTGTCACGAAAAATGAGGTGTCGAGAACCATTCGGTGTTGGTCCCAGGGAAAAAAGAGAAATAGTTTTTGTTCGATCTAACTAATCGGACTTAGGAACACAAAAAAACAAAGCACTTGAATTTATTGATATTATCCTTGTCAGAGAAAAAAAAAGGTTGAGTCGAAGTGTATGCGATGTTTGTAAACAAATATCTGAAAGCGTAAACAACCGGAAACAGTTGAAACGAGTGCGACAGTAACCCGGCGGGAAAACGTTAAATTTACCTGTTATGCTTGTCTGAGAAAAAAAAGGTTAGAGATTATTTTTTTGCAGTCTGAATACGGTAGCGATATCGAAGCGGAGAGCCTAAATAGCATAACACAGACACTTTTTCTCTGCGTCTCTACCTTTTTTTTCTCAGACAAGCATAATATTTTTTAGTTTTTCTCTTATTTTGCAGCAAATTTCGTCGAATATGGTTTGTTTTTCATTGTTTTTTGCGGTATTTTAAAATATATTCGACAAAATTTGCTTCAAAATAAGACAAAAACTAAAAAATAGGTAAATTTAACATTTTCCCGCCGGGTTACTGTCGCACTCGTTTCAACTGTTTCCGGTTGTTTACGCTTTCAGATATTTGTTTACAAACATCGCATACACTTCGACTCAACCTTTTTTTTTCTCTGACAAGGATAATAATTAAAAAAAAAAGATTGAAAAAGGAAGTAACAAAAAAGGAAAAAAGCTCTGCATGAAATTAAAGCTAATGGAAGTAACAGTATAAATTATTATAGTTTAACTTACAAATTTGGATAACAGTAAGAAGTATAGGAATAATACATGAGAAACAAATTCCAAGTCAAGAATAGGGGTAAGATGATTTAATACAAATTGGATAGAGAAGGATGTGGGAAAAGACAGTTCACAGTTTAAATATCGATGTAACCTTGTACGGATCCATTAGTAGAATATTTCAAAGATTAGTTTGATATTCAACCATTCTGAGAAACTCTTCCTCTGTCTCTTTCCATACTCCAAAACTGAAAACCCCTTCCTGAATTGAAAAAGACGCCACATGATTATCAGAACGATATATGTATGACTGGTGATTGGAATTGTATTTGGTTTAAGAGCAGGTTCTGGCGCCGACCTACAAAAAATTATCGGTTATTCCTAAACTGTTCAGAAGAAGAAAAAACTCACACTTTGGGAAAAGTATGTCTGGGTGGTGTTTTAGTTGCATCAATTTCACCCAGTTTACATTAAGAACTTCGTTTTGGTGCCTACCGCGGTATAATCCTATTTTCAAGTATTCCAAATTTTGGAACGCTTCTCCAGATCTCCATCTATTCATAAACTTTATCAATTCCACAAAGCCACATTCACATTTTAATAAAGTTGCCTGCCTGCCTTTAAAGTTCCGTAAAAAAACTTGAACGGAGGGAGAACGTGATTGGAAGATTCTAATGGATTCCGCATGATAGAACTTGGACTCCGGGCTGAATGGTTCAGATGTATCCGTGGTTATATTTTTCAAAACAGGAATCGAGGCAAAGAACTTCTCAAGGTTTTTCAAATCTTTTTTCTATCTATTATCTCCCAGTCTTTAGGCGAAATAGTAATCCACAATGATAAGTTAGAAAGATCTGGAATGAAATGCTCGGGATATTTTGCTTCCCAAATATGCTCCACAGTATCATATGAATGGATTCAATAACATATTCTTTGTCATGCCGGTGAAAACATGCTTCAGGAAAACTGTAATAATGGGACAGTCTGAAATAATGATCGGTTTTTGATTGACTGTTAATTTCAACTCACCGAAAATCAATCACTTTTCCAGATACGTTCAATTGAAAACAATCATCCTCAGATTCCTTGTAGTCGCAGAAAACGCCGATGATGTTTTCCTTTTTGGGAACATCTTCTGTTCCCTGCTTATTTTTCGTCATAAAGTGAATAGAAGCAATAGGTTTATCGCAAAAACTTTCATACACAACACGACCGATGTTTCGGAATCTTTTGACTTGAGACGATTTAATCAATGTTTTCATATTTTCTGAAACAAAAGACAACCAAAATAGATCCGAATACTTCATGTTGTCAAGAATCTCCTTTTGGACTAAATACGGAATCTTCGATAGTTTCATTGTTCTGAAAATATTGAACAGATTGTAGAGGAACAAGAATGGGGACGAGGAGAACGACAAACGATAGGAATTGAAAATGAATAAGAAAAGAAGGAGACCACCTAATGACATGGAATAAAGAAACATAATCCGTAGATAGTATGATGACGAGTGTATGTCTAGATTTCTGTGATTCTGAGACTTTGCGATTCTGGGAACTAACGTGCATTTCAGCAATTATGTAGATTCGAAGTTTGTGTTGTTTCGTAATCCGCAAGTTCTCGTAACGGTTGCGTCTTCATTTAAAATTAACACATTTGATTTGTGCATACTTTCGATCAACTCTAGAATAGGTGCAGAGAAGACATCTCCAACACCAACTTATCCGCCTTCTAAGGCTTCTATTCGGTCGGAAAATTTAGCCGACCGACCGACTACCTACCCCGCCGACCGACAGCCGACCGAAATGACCGATAGGTCGGCGCGGCGACCGTTTTCGTACATTTGCGCGTCAACATCTTTGCATAAGCTGCATTTTATTTTACGACAAACTAAATGCCTCGTTTGTCGTAAAATAAAGTGATTCGTACGCAAAAATTCGTATTTTGTTGCGCAAAGACACGAAACCGGTCGGCTGTTTGTCAGCTGGGTCGGCGATCGGTCGGCGGTTTTCGACCGACCTAAATGGGAGCCTTATTGTGTATTCAAAATAATCGCACGAATGAACGAGTAAAAAAACGTGTAGAGAGTCTCCAAACCTGTAGAGGCGCTGTAGAGACGCAGACATTTTTACTAGTTCACTCGCGCGATTATTTTGAATAGACAATACCGGTTTCAATCGGAGAGTGGTCTCTGTGTAAATTGTTTAAATTTTCCTTCGACAGTAATTAGTTGGTTTTCATCAATTATGATATGACGTAAAAATACAAAAAAAAACGCATCCGAACCTCTTCATAATTAAAACAGGTTAGATTGAAGAAAGAAGTAATAAGAAAAAGAAGACAAAATGGAAAGCTCTACAAAAAAAATTAATGGAAAGAATCGTTTAAGTTATTGTATAAAAGGATTTTAAGAATGGTGAGAAAGCTCTTTTAAAAAATACAGGATAAACTGTTTCGAAGTTAAGAATTAATCAAGGAAGAATGCGTTGGAAACGGGTAAGCTGATTTGATACAAATTGGATGGAGAAGGATGTGAAAAAACATATTACAGTTTACAGAACGATATAACAAAATAAATGTGATTGAATAAAGTATTAAAGGAAGACTCCGACCAAAAATTTTTATTGCATTAAAATGTGTTAAAAGTTATCTATTTTCCGAATATTATTGCGAAAAAATTCAAAAAAACCCGAAATCCCCGAAAAACGGTCGTTGAAAAGGAAGATAATTCAAAAAAAGGTGCCGCCGGGGGAACGAGGATTTTCAGTGAGAAACTTAGGCCACGGCAGCGGGCGCCTTTCTTACGTGGCAAATTTTCCGGATTTTTTCAATTTTCATGTCCGGCAGGTAAAAAACGTAAAAAACCACTGTCGGCGACTTGAAAAAAAGGCTGTCAGGTGCAGTGGCCTAGGTTTCTCACTGAAAATCCTCGTCCCCCGGCGGCACTTTTTTTTGAATTTTCTTCCTTTTCAACGCCGTTTTTCGGGAATTTCGGATTTTCTTTGAATTTTTTCGCAATAATATTCGGAAAATAGATAATTTTTAACACATTTTAATGCAATAAAAATTTTTGGTCGGAGTCCCCCTTTAACAAGGAAAAATCTAAATCCATTGTGCTGATTAATATCTGATATGTTTGGATGAAGTAGTTCTCTAGAATACTGGGAAAACCGGAGAAATCTGAAGCTACTTCACCATCGTCAGAAATTCCTCCTCCGTCTCATTCCATACTCCAAAAACGAAATCTCCTTCCTGAATTGAAACAGACGCCACACGATTATCTGTTTTCCTAACGACATATGTGTGAGTGATGATGGGATCCGTATTTTGTTTAAGAGTTGGTGTGTACCTAAAAAATTATCGATTAGTCCTGAGTTATCAGAAAAGAAGAAATAACTCACACGTTGGCCACAGTGTGCGCCGGTGGTGTTTTAGTTGCATCAATATGTTTCAACCCGTTTACATTGAGAACTTCGTTTAGGGCAATGTCATTCGATAATAGTATTATTTTCAAGTATTCCAATTTTTGAAACGCCTCCCCGGATATCCATCTATTCATAAATTCTATCAATGGCAAAACTTCAATTTCACAGAAAAATAAAGTTGCCTGTCTCCCTTGAAAGTGCCGTAAAAGAGCATTAACGGTTTTGGGAAGTGGTTGGACAATTTTAATGGATTCCACCTGATAGAATTTGGACTCCGGACTCAATACTTCCTTTGTAGTCAATTTAATATGTAAATGTTTCAAAACAGGAGACGAAGCAAAGAACTTTTCAAGGCTTTTCATGTCTATAGCCTCCGAGCTTTCAGGCCAACTAGTAACCCATACTGACAAGTTGGGAAGGTTTGGAATAAAATGCTCGGGATTGTTTGCTCCCCAAATATAATCCATAGTATCGCCGAAGAAATCGAGAAAATAATTATGAATAGATTCGATGGCAGATTCTCTCTCACTCGGGTGAAAACATGCTTCTGGAAGATTGCGTTGGTTGGATAGTCTAAAATAATGATAGGTTTTTGACAGGGTTGCGGATTGACGGCCCGGCCCGGCCCGTCGGCCCGTCCATAGCTTTTTCAGAGAAAAATTTTTTTGATGAAAAATTTTTTGAGCGAACATAGGCACCAACGGGTGAAAAACAACAACGAAAACAAGACGTAAACAACCTGTAAACAACCTGTAAACAACTTGTAAACAACTTTCGGAAATTCGAAATTTTCCAGGATTGCTCAGCCCTAATTTTTTGGCACATTGTCTGAAAATAGCTGAAAATGAGCTGAAAATTGGTCAAAATAGGTCAAAATGGGCCAAAACTGCAAAAAAATCAATGAAAATAGCTTAAAAATGACCAAAAATCCGGAAATTGCTCAGATTGCTCAGCATTAATTTTTGGTCTATTTTTGGCTGAAAATGACTGAAAATCTGCTGAAAACCAGATGAAAATAAGCTCAAATGAGCCAAAACCCCAGAAATACAGCGAAAATCGCTTAAAAAATGACCAAAAATCGGTTGAGTTTGAGCTGAGTTACAGTCCCGAACATACATGTGGAAAATTCGGAGTGGAAATTTTTTACAGTTTGCAGACGGGCCGGCCCGTCGCAACCCTGGTTTTTGATTGATCACTATTCAACTCACCGAAAATCAATCATTTCTCCAGATACGTTCAATTGAAAGCAATCGTTTTTGGATTCCATGTGGTGATCGAAAATTCCCATGATATCTCCCATTCCCAAGGTATCTTCTCCCATGACATTTTTCGTCTTGAAGAGAATGGACGCAATACGTTTATCGCCAATATCACTTTGATACATTAAACGAATAATGTTTTTAAATCTCATAATTTGAGATGATTTAATCAGAGTTTTCATATTTGTTGAGAGAAAAGACAACAGAAATAGATTCGAATACTTCATGTTGTCAAGGATCTCCGTTTGGACCAGATACGGAAATTTCGATAGTTTCATTGTTCTGAAAATGTTGAATAGATTCTACAGAAGAACACAAATAATACAGAGGGAAACGATAGAAATAGAAAACAGATATAAAAAAGGAGGATTGCATGACTTGGAAGAAAGAACACGAAGACGTAGGGGTCCGATGATGAGTGTATGTTATGACCTGGACACATTCACTCGTCTGTCCCACAGCCACTACACCTATCGATTGAAGGCCGATTAGTTGGGTGGAGATGTCTTCTTAGCACATCTACTAGAGTTGTCTTCGAGCGGGCACAAATCAGATCAGAAGGTAGGCACATAACTTGGAGGTACAACACTGCCCTAAGAACGCGATGTACCCTTTTTCGATGTACCTTTGGATACTGGGCCGGAATCCGACCGTTATGAGAACGTGAATATGAGAACCAGGAAATAGGCATGGTAAATAAAACAGTATTGGAATAAAATATGACAATGAGTGGCTCAGACGTCTGCTGGCTAGGAAGACAGTGCAGTAGATACTTTCCTCTCTCCGTCACGAGAAACTGAAGTGTCGAAAACCATTCGGTCTTGGTTACAGGGAAATAAAAGACAACACTATTGATGATTTTGAAAAATTGGATTGAAGAAATAAACAGAAACAGTTCTGCATGACTTTTAAAATTAATGGTAAGGGATGAATAAGTTAGTGCATAGTACATTTAGTTGGATATTAGGCTGGCTAAAAAGAAACCAAAACCGTCTTAGATTGATTACATTTTGAAGGAATAGAACATTTATGGGATTGCGAGAAAACTTAGAAATATATAAAAATACATGAAAGACTGGTTCCAAGTCCAGAGTGAGGATGAGGTGATTTGATACAAATTGGATGGAGAAGAATGTGGACTAAGGAATACTAAAACAAGTGCATTCAAATTCATTGATAATTGAAAAAAATATTAGATCGAAGGAAGAAACAAGAAAAAGTCCAGCATGACATCAAAATTAATAGGAATGGTTGTATAAGTTATCATAGTTGATAGATTTTGGATTTATGCATTTCAAGAACAGTGAGAAAATGAAAACAAACTACAGGATAAACTGATTCGAAGTCAAGAGTTGGTCAAGTAAGGATGCGGTGGATAGGGGTTAAGGGATTGAATACACATTGGATAGAAACGATGTGGAAAAATATAATGAAGTTTGAACAACGATGTATGGATCCATAAGTTATCAGAATGAAACTACTCGACCATTCTCAGAAACTCTTCCTCCGTCTTATTCCATACTCCAAAACTGAAATTCCCTCCCTGAACTGAAATAGATGCAACACGACTATCGGATTCGCTAACGATATATGTGTGACTGATGATTGGATCCGTATTTGGTTTAAGATCAAGTTCTGGTGTGGATCTAGAAAATTATCGATTATTCCTAATTTGTTCAAGCAAAACAAACTCAGAAATCGGGCACCGAAAACCAATGTTCTTTACAGATACGTTCAATTGAAAAATATGTTTCGTCCCATCAAGATTCTCACTCATTGTCATCATATATTCCATTCTTTCGAAAACTTCCATTGTCGCCATATTTCTCGTCTTAAAGGTGGGGGGACATGAAAAAAATAATGTCTCGAAATTCCGTTCAAAGATGCCCCTCGAGGAGTTGAACTTGTGAGGGCGATGATTGAGGGTGCGGCGCCGCTACCGACTGAGCCACGCGGGCAAAGAGAAAGCGCACGCCCGATTGCATACATAAAGGCGAGGACGACAGCTGTACGCAGAGTGACATTAAGCGTTGTACACCGTCACGGTAGAATGCATACTCTAGCTACAAAAAAACTACGAAAAATCTCCTGCCCCTCCACCTTTAACGGGAATCTGTACATAAAATAAAATGACCAAATTGCTATACTTAATACGGCGGATGCTTTGGAATCGCGCAGTTTGAGATGATTTGATCAACATCTTCATATTTTTTGGGACAAACGACAACCAAAACAGATCCGTAGTTTTCATGTTGTCAAGAATCTCCGTTTGGACATAATACGGAAATTTCGATACAGGGTCCGCCAAAATTACGTGTGCAAGTGTAGATGACGTTATCTCCAGAAGTAGATGCGAGATTAAGACGAAATTTAACAGATAGTTTATTTCAACGCTTGAAATCATAATTCAACAAAAATTATTCGATTCTACCTCCTTTGGCAGCGACCACGGCACGAAGTCGTCGAGGGAAGGCATCAATGGTGGCACGCAGGTATTCGACGGATAATTTGTCCCATTCCTCAGACAACGACTTCTTCAGGGCCTCGATATTTGCATTAGGTCTTGCGCAGACCTTATTAGGCAGATCTCCCCATACGAAGTAGTCGAGCGGGTTCAGATCAGGCGAGTAAGCCGGCCATTTGTCTTTTGGTATGAAGGCGGGATAAGTGGTCCTTGCACCACTGTTGAGCCATTTTTGCGGTATGAGCAGGCGCTCCATCTTGTTGGAAGATGTATTTCTTCTGACAGAAGTGGTTTTGAGCCCACGGTAGCACATGCTTCTCCAGAATCTCCTCAACGTAGTATTTTTGGTTGATTTTCACGCCTTTATCAAAGAAACCAAGCGGACACTTCCCATCATAGCAAGCCGCTCCGAAAACCATGATGCTCGCAGGATGAGAGGCTCGATGGATTGTTTTACCACGCTCAGCTGCTTGTTGAATATTTGTGGCCAGCACTCGGTGGTTTTGGCTATTAAATTCAGCCTCGACCCTGAAGAGTTTCTCGTCCGAGAAGATGGTGATAAGACGATCCTTTTTGCGCGTGCCAGCGAGAAGGCGCTTCGCTTTGATGAGCCGTTTCTCCTTATTGGCTTGGGATAGAATAGCAGCTTTTGTTGCTCGATAAGAGGTCATCTTCAGCTCTTTTCTGACAATTCTCCTCATTGATGTATAGGAGATATCCATGTCATCTGACATCTTTTTCATGGAACGACGAGCATTTCGCCTGACTTTCTCCCGGACGGCCTTGACTTTCGCTGGAGTTCTTACAGTCCTCGGTCTTCCTCTTCCCGTACGGTCCTTGAGGTGGCCAAGCTGGTTGAAACGACGGATGGTCGCGAAAACCGTGTTTCGGTGCACTCCGAGTCGTTTAGAAATGTCTCCTGTGCTTAAACCTCGCTTGTAAAAGTCGACGATCAGAGTACGATGAGGACTTGCCGCTGTCATTTACCTAAAACATAACCGATTGGGATGAAACTTGGCAAACTAATAAATAATGAAATAATTAATAAAAATTTTAAAAAATTGCGCACCAAAAGTGCGTCAGTGCGCAGCGCCATGGCGTCAAAGTTGTGCACACGTAATTTTGGCGGACCCTGTAGTTTCATTTCTCCTGAAAATTTTCGACTTATTTTATAGAAGGATGGGAATGATAATGAGGGAAACGAAAAACGATTAAAAAAGAAGATGAACAACAAAGCATTTGGAAGATGCCCCAAAAGAGAGAGAGAGAGAGAGAAGACGTAGGTTGTCTGATGATGAGTGGATGTGATGACCTTGACTGGTTGAAACACCCACTCGTCCGTCTCACACGGACCGCTCCTCGATTAAAGGTGGATTAGTTCTCCAGCTGTCTTCTTAGCACCTCTACTAGCGTTGTCTCGAAGGGCATGCACGAATCAAATGGGTAAGTAGATACGCAACCGTTATGAGAACGTCCGAACTAACACGTCAAATGAAACACATCAAATCTACATGGTTGTTGTACATTAGTTCCCAGAATCTGAGAACTTCAGAAACCTGCTATTCCTTAATTTAAGAGTATCAGAAGCCTAGAATCTCTGAATTTCAGAATTCCAAAACTTCAGGATCTCAAAACCTAGGAATTTTTCCCACAGTGGTCGCCCGCTGTTTCCCAGGGGGACATTGCACGAATCACGATATACATATCCTCTAAATCGTACTAAACGCTCATTTTCATAGATACTAGCATGTGACCTGTGCCGCAATTTTGAAATTCTGAAATTCGTAAAAGCTGCAATAGAATGCCGTAATCAGTAATGGTCGCAGTGTTCTTTTTGCATGTTTCGAATAATAATTGTATTTTTCATGATCATGTATTTTTTGCTTGTTATTAGAAAAGAGAAAAGATTGCATTAAAGAATGAAGCAAAAATTTCTACATAAAATTAAAACAAAAAATCGGTATTATAGCATGCGTTAGATAGGGGCGAGGTGATTTAAAGCAAATGTGATGGAAGCGATGTTATCCAGTCTAGAATTGTTTGGAAATTAGTTCAATTTGGAACTACTTCACCATTCTCAGAAACTCTTCTTCTGTCTCTTTCCATACTCCGAAACGAAGCGTATCTTCACGAATTGAAACAGATGCCACACGATTATCTGTATCCCTGACGATATATGAGTGGCTGGTGATTGGATCCGTAATTCGGAAAAATACTGGTTTCAACCTAAAAAAAAGATTGGTTATTCCTGAGCTATCCCAAAAGAAAAAGGATTTGGAAACTACTTAAAAAATAACTCACACTTTGGGAAACGTATGTCTGGGTGGTGTTTTAGTTGCATCAATATGTTTCACCCCGTTTACATTGAGAACTTCGTTTAGGGCAATGTCATTCGATAATAGTATTATTTTCAAGTATTCCAACTTCCTAGACCCTTCTCCGGATCTCCATCTATTCAAAAACTCCATCAAATCCAAAATGTCACATTTAGAGCATCTAAAAACTGCCTGTCTTCCTTGAAAGTGACGTAAAAAAGTAGGAACGGTATTGGAATGTTGTATGAGGTCAATGGATTCTGCCTGATAGAATTTGGACTCCGGACTGAATAGCTCTGATGTATACGTTTCCAAACGTATATGTTTCAAAACAGGAGACGAGGCGAAAAATGTTTCAAGGGCTTCCATCTCTTCAATACTGATGTACGAATGCCCAACAGAAATACATAATGATAAATTGTGAAGACGTGGAATGAAATCATCGGGATAATTTGCTATCCATTGACACTCTACAGTATCGCCGAATAAATCAAGAAAATAATTGTGAATGGATTCGATAGCAGATTCTTTGTCATTCGGGTGAAAACATGCCTCTGGAAGATTGTACTGTTTGGTTACTCTGAAAAAAGGACAAGTTTTCCAATTGATTGATAATTTTAACTCACCGAAAATCAATTACTTTTCCAGATACGTTCAATTGAAAATGGACAGTTTCAGATTTCTTTTTAAATCCATTTTTTGTTTCCTCGACAATTCTCATGATGTTTTCCGGTATGTTTTTGAAGGGAATATAAACCAACCGTTTATTGAGCATAGGATCGTCATACACAATATGACTTATGTATTTGAATCTTGTTATTTGAGACGATTTGATCAGTTTTTTCATATTTTTTGAGACGAACGACAACCAGAACAGATCCGAATGTCTCATGTGGTCCAAAATCTCACTTTGGACCAAATACGGAAACTTCGATAGTTTCATTGTTCTGAAAATATTGAACAGTTTGTAGAGGAACAAGAATGAAGGCGAGGAGAACGACAAACGCTAGAGATATGTAGAAAATAAACCACAAAAGAAGTAGCATATGGTAGACACAAAAGATACAGAAAACGTCGATAGTCCGATGATGAGTGCCTGGTTGACACACTCAATCGTTTTTCCCACAGGGACCATCGATTAAAGGTCTATTAGTTGGTATGGAGATGTCTTTGTAGGACCTTTATTATAATGTTCACTGTCTTCCTAGACAGCAAACGTCTGCCTTCTCAGTCAGAGAACATTGTAATGGGAGTACGACGCGTTAGAACTTTGCGAAATAGAACTGCTAAATTGATCGGAATTGGAGACGTGCTGAACATACCAGCCAGAAAATGAATTTTTCAGAAATTGTTTTCATCTGGCACAAGCTATAACTTGAATTTTTCGCTAGGATTTTTGGCTAGGAAGACGGTCCAATAGTCATGAGATACTGAAGTTTCGAGAACCATTCGATCTTGGTACGAGGGAAAACAGAAAAAACAATAGTCTTCCGTTCGATCTAATTAATGATTTGAATTTGGAATACTAAAAACAATGCATTCAAATTTATTGGTAATTTAGAAAAGATTAGATTAAAGAAAGAAACAAAAAAAGTTCTGCATGACATCAAAATTAATAGAAAGAATCGTAGAAGATATTATATATGAATGTTAGTTAGATGGAGGCGGATGTGAAAAAAACATAGTACAGTTGTATTGTATTGTATTGTATTTATTACGTAAAAAATACGTGGAAGAATAAAAAGAAAAAAGAATGAAAAAGAGAATAAATAGACAAAAAGGGACATGGTGACATAAAATTGATATTTCTTAACCTAGAAATGAATAATAGTGGATAATAACAAATCTTTTTCCGAACTTCTGACAGCAGCAAGCTTTTAGATCCGTTTTGTAGAGCTCATCATTTTACTAAGAACCCTATGCGTGAAGAAGTTTTGTTTAAATTTAGTTCAGTTTAAACAACGATGTATGGATCCATAAGTTTTTAGAATGGAACTACTCCACCATTCTCAGAAACTCTTCCTCTGTCTCTTTCCATACTCCAAAACTGAAAATCCCTTCCTGAATTGAAACAGACGCCACACGGTTATCTATTTCCCTAACGATATATGTGTAACTGGTGATCGAAGCCACATAGTGTGTGAGTGGTTTTTTAGTGGCGGTAATATGCTTAACCCAGTTTGCACTAAGTACTTCGTTTGGGTGCCTGGCACCGTAGGTTAAGGTTATTATTAGGTTAAGGTTACTTTCAGCTTTTGGATTGCTTCTCCGGATCTCCATCTATTCATAAACTGTGTCAATTCCACATGAGCCATATTCACAGTAAGATAAAGTTGCCTGTCTGCCTTTAAAGTTCCGTAAAAAAGCTAAAACAGCGGGGAAACAAGGTCGGATGATTCTAATATTAGGTTGGCTAATAAGTTTCTTTCGATTTTGCTAACATTTTTGAACATATTTTTCTCAGAGCGAAGGGGGCTAGATTAATGAAAGTAATGTGCATGAGCATCGATATTTGTCTGGCAACGCTCCGGTAACACTTTGATTCTATCGGCCCAGAACGAGGAGGGCTGCGATTGGAAAAGTGCGTGAATCCCTTTTTGAAGTCATCTTTTAAATCGAAGTCTTTTCTATCAAGATGGTGCTTTAGAGTTTTGAACGACCATTCATCCGAAAGGCCAAGGTCCGGAGAATACGATGTGTCGGAATAAAAAAAGTGAGGCTCGGTGTTTGCGTACTTTGATTCCCGCCTCCCCCCACCGACGCTCCGCTCATCGCTTTGCAAGTGCGGCG